AGATAGGGTTTCTCTATATGTAGCCCTAGCTGTCCTGGAACTCAGAGAGATCCGCCTTCCTCTGCCTCCTGAGTGCTGAGATCAAAGGCATGCGCCACCACCATCACTGGCTGAGTTCCTACTCTTGAGTGGATAGAATCTACTTGACTTTTGGGTCATTTCCTGAAAGATGCTTGTCAGGTCTGGCTCCTTTGTGGTTAGGAGTTTACTGGGAGCTGGCAGTTCAGGGAGGAAGTGAACAGAGAGAGGAAGACTTCCAAGCCCGTGGAGTCCCTGAGAGTAAAACCTAGCTCCACCCTTCCTTTCCCCTTTGCCACCCCTACAGCCGCCACCTCTGCCACCTACCATCTCTAATGAAGACCTGTCACCCCCAGCTTATCACAGCTCCTGAAGCCTTTGTGTTCTAAGTCCTACCCTCCGCCTTCCTTGACTTCCAAACGTCATGCTCCTTCCCAAGTGTTGGGCTTTTCCTGGGACACATCCCGTTGCTCCTCTAGACTCTCCTTCAAGAGCCAGCGCAGATGCGCCTCCTCCAGGAAACCATCTCAGGTCTTTCTCCCTTCCCTTAAGCAGATGTATACTCTACTGTAAAGCCTGATCACCTTCCCATTCAGTTTTGTGAGCTACAGTGACCCCCGCCCCTCCTGTAGGCAGTGGCCTATGACGTCCTCAAGGGAAGGGTCCCTTTCTTATTCATCTTGCCCCAGCTAGTAAGTAACAATAGACTGGAAGAGAAAATGAGCAAAAAGATGATGGATGAATAGATGGATGGATGGATGGATGGACAGACGGACGAACGGACGATTTACCTTGACAGACATTTGAGGACAGCTTGGGCTACGTTGTGAGTTCCAGGCTAGTCTAGACTACCAGAGTGAGATCCGGTCTCAAAAGCAGCAGCAGCGGCAACAGCAAAGATTTACCTTGAGTGCTCCATCATGTTATTGGGTCATACCTCTCCATGAAAATGAAAATCTTAGGGCAGATCACATGATCACACGGCAGCGTGTGCTGCAACGCCCTCCCCTGCTTTATCCCAGCTCATCGGGGAACAAGCTACATAGTGAGTACCCATTCTGTGTGGGCTGGGGACAGTTATAAAAGAACACTTGGCAGCTGTGCATGGTGGCACAGTGTCACAGGCCTGTAATCCCGTGCACTCACAGGGCAGAGGCAGAGGTGGGAGGATCACAATCATGAAGGGTTGGGGAGAAGGAGAAGGGCAGGGGAGAGAAGAGAGGATACCTGTCCCCTGCCCCTCTCTCCTCCCCCAATACTTGAGAGAGAACTGGGCAACTGGGATGGGGTAGCCATCTAAGGTGCCATGTGTCTACGCATCTCTTCTAAGTGTGAGCATTAACAGTTCCTCTAAGTGGCCAGTCCTGACCACTTGTCTGGATGCACTTTCTCCATTTCTCTCTTCTCACATCCTTATTTCTTCAATATTTATTGAAACCTGAAATTGCCGGCCTTTTTTTTTTTTAAGAAAGTAATTTTATTAAATTATAAAAGTTTCCATTTCCGCCCCTCCTCCCAACACCCTCCCTCTCCATCCCTAAGAGTAGTCAGGGTTTCCTGCCCTGTGGGAAGTTCAAGTTCCTCCCCCCTCCCTCCAGGTCCAGGAAGGTGAGTATCCAAACAGACTGGATCCCCAAAATCCAGTATATGCAGAGGAAACAAGTCCCAGTGTCATTGTCAATGGCTTTTCAGAAAGACTCCGGGCCAGCCACATTCAGAGAATATTGCCGGCCTTTTTTGTCTTCCCCATTTGAACATCAACTCCATGAGTAGGGACAGTGTCTTTCTGTTTACTGCTGTGTCCTCAAGGCCTAAACAAAAACCAGTAGCAGGCACACAGCGGGTATTTGAGAAACAGTGAGTATGTCCTGTGATCTGCCTCGCACTTCAGTTGAGTGCAATCTGAGGTCGACCCTGTCTGCTGGGTTCTGATAATTCTGTACTTCCGCTGGGCAGTGGTGGCGCATGCCTTTAATCCCAGCGGGGGGGGGGCAGAGGAAGGCGGATCTCTGTGAGTTCGAGGCCAGCCTGGTCAACAAGAGTGAGTTCCAGGACAAGCACAGAGAAATTCTGTCTCAAAAAACCAAAGGAGGGGGGCACGACTATATTTGCCAGTTCTGATATTTCAGCTGTCTTGTCTTATATGTCTTTGAAAACTCCAGGTACAGTTGCTCAAAAGTCATATTGATAATTCTATTATCTAGACCCGTCCATGAAACACTCGTCTTCACTGCTTCTGTCATTTGTGTCTTGCTCCGTCCCCGCGAAAGCTGAGCTGCTGTTTCCTGTCTCACTGTCCTGCTGGCGATCTTCTGTCAGTGTGACACAAGCTAGGGTCACCTGCAACGGGGGAACTTCAGCTGAGAAAATGCCTCCAAAAGTTCCAGCTGTGAGCCGAGTAGTAGCTCACGCCTTTAATTCCAGCACTCGGGAGGCAGAGGCAGGCAGATCTCTGTGGGTTCAAGGACAGTCTGGTTTACAGAGCGAGTTCCAGAATAGCCAAGGCTGTTACACAGAGAAACCCTGTCTCAAAAAACAAACAAACAAACAAAACGAACAAAACAATACAACGACAGCAAAAAAAAAAAAAATCCAGCAGTAAGGCATTTTCTTAATTAGTGATTGAGAGGGGAAGGCCCAGGCCATGATGGGTGTTTCTGTTCCTGGGCTGGTGGACCTGGGTTCTATAAGGAAACAGACTGACCAAGTCATGAAGAGCAAGCCAGTAAGCAGCACTCCTCCATGGCCTCTGCATCAGCTTCTGCCTCCAGGTTCCTGCCCTGCTTGACTTCCTGTCCCAACTTCCTTCAGTGATGGACCACAACATGGAAGTGTGAAAACCAAATCAACCCTTTCCTCCCCAACTTGTTTTTTGGTCCTGGTGCAATAGAAACCCTGACCAAGATAATTTCAAACCTTCATCCTGCTACCCAGAGACCAAGTGGAGAACTTATCTGCTTGTTTGGGTCTCTTTTTTTCTTTCCTTTTTCTGTTTTTCTTTTTTTTTTTTTTTTTTTTCCTTTTCCTTTTTTTTTTTTTTTTGGTGTGTGGGTGGGATAGCGGGGCTTTTGTTTGTTTGTTTTTGTTTGTTTATTTGTTTGTTTGTTTTCGAGGCAGGGTTTCTCTGTGTAGCCCTGGGTGGCTATCCTGGAATTCACTCTGTAGACCAGGCTGGCCTCAAACTTGGAGTTCTGCCTGCCTCTGCCTTCCGAGTTCCAGGAATGAAGGCGAAGGCACCACTGCCTAGGTCTGTTCATTTTCTTAGGTATTTCTTTTGGAAGAGACAAATACTTTCAGGAGCCCAAACACAGCCTCTACTCTCTCAGCCCATACTTCTTTTGTGCACCCCAACTCCTCAGTATAGAGCCAGGGATTGCCCATGGTAGCCTGGCCAATCGGTGTCAAGGCTTGGCAACGGGGTGAAAGTGGACACCTTAGCCTCACTCATCCTTTCAGACGTCCCTGACACCCGTTAGCCCCATGTCCTACCCTCTGCTGGGTTGGAGAGGTGTCAAGTCCTAGACCAGATCACAAAAGAAGGTACAATCTTTTGTTGTCTGTTGATTTGTGTCTTGTTTTGTTTTGAGACAAGGTCTTAGGCAGCTCAGTGTGGTCTCAAATTCACTACGTAGCCGAGGATGACCTTGAACCTCTAACTCTCCAGAGTGCTGAGATCACGGGGTGTACCACTACACTTGGTTTTAGGTGCTGCAGGGCATGAAAATCAAGTCCTAGGGCCTTCGGGGGAAGTATCTACCGAGCTGCACCCCAGCTCGGAAGACTCAGCTCTTGAAGGTGAAGGGACCCCTCTATCTTGGAAAGAGTTTTACAGAGGAAGTGGAAACTTTCTCTGGGGAGGAGCTTTGTGTGTGAATATGGGGGAAAGGCAGAGGAAATGCCTGCTCTCATTTCCTGAGGCTGAGGCAGCGAGGGCAAAGCCAGGCAGCTGTGGGTGAGGCTAGCTAGGAAGTGGTATACACAGGGCAGTGTTACCCAATGAGGGCAGAAGGCTGGGGGTGGGAGGCTTGGTCTTTATACTGAGGAATTTGGCCTCCAGACCTAAGAAGAAGCGCTGGGCACGTGGACAACTAACTCTCCTGCTCTGTCAGGCTTAGGAGTCCACCTAGAGAAGGAGAACAGCCATTGGGAAGTCAAGCCTGTAGTCCTAGCATTGTCTTTGCCTTACCTCAGTTTTCCCATCTGTCAAGTGGGGCTTTCATAGAGCTCTCTCAGCGTGGCAACCAGGCTTCTATCTATTCTATACTGTCAAGACAGAACAAAGCTGCTCAGAGGCCAAGAGAGGCAAATGCTTGAAACCCTACATCCTTTCTTGGTTATG